AAAAAAAAAAAAAAAAAAAAAAAAAAAAGATGGCATTTGGCGAAAGGGATGGATTGGGAATAAGCATGAGGATGTGCCTCAGGTGGCGATGGCTGATGGGGTTGGAATACGTATAGCTGGAAATCAAAAAGGCATTGAGGAAGACAGTGGGGTTTGGGTTAGTATTGGGGTTGAGAATACAACAGGGATGGTGTTATGAGTGGAACTGTGTTTGTCCCCCACCCCAAGAAGAAGAGATATGTGAAGTCCTAACCCCCAGTACCTCAGAATGGGATCTTATTTGGAAATAGGTAATTTACAGAGGTAAGCAAGTTAAAATGAGGTCATAGGGTGGGCCCTGATCCATTATGACTGGTGTCCTTATAAGAAGGGAAACTTGGACACCGAGATAGACATGCACAGAGGAGAAGATGATGTGAAGACAGAGAGAAGGCCATGTGTGGACGGAAGGTGGGAGGGATGCAGTTACAAGGCAAGGAACGCCACAGATTGCCAGCAAAGCACCGGAAGCTGGAAGAGGCAGCTTTGAAAGGAGACGGGATTGAGGTTGAATTTGAGGATAGTAACGGAGAGAGGGTTGAAACCGGGGACAGGGAGGGGACTGGAGGAGATGAGACCGAAGTTGGTCATTTGGTGGTTGTTGGACAAGGGGATGAGGTTGAAGGCAGATGGAGAGAGGGACAGATTGGGCTGGGGGTGGAGACGGGGCTGAAGCTGGAGCTTGGTGATGGAGGTTAGGACCGCAGCGGGGACGGGCTGGCCATGTCCGTGGAGGTGGGCAGATGGAAGCTGGAGATGTGAATGGAGATGGGGTCACGGATGGAGACACTGTGATTCTCCCAGGTCTGGGCCAGGACTCCCGACTCACCTGACAGCGGCTCCTTTATCTTTGGGGGCTCCGGGACCTTGGGCGGGGGCTCGGGAGCCGCCTCGCCTGCGGGCACCACCCTCTCAGCCAGTGACGCCCGCCGGGGCTTGGGCCCACGCCCCAGTCTCAGGAAGGCCAGTCTCCGGGCAGCCTCCCCAGCCGCCTCCTCGTCGCCCTGGGCTCGGGTCCCCTGAAGCCTGGCCAGGAGGCCAAAGTCTGCTGAGCTCCTACGGATCCCCGGTGTCAGCACACGGCCCAGGAAAGAGCGAGGCTGCCCGTCCCCAGGGCTGCCCGCCCGCCGGCCAGGGGTTCTGCCCAGCCGGAAGGGGGCCAGGCCTGCCAGCTTCTCCAGGGTGGCACGGCGGCGACATGATGTTCCGTTGGGCAGGGCCTCCAGTTCCCCAGCCTCCTCTTCTTCCAGCCCTGAAGCTTCCTCAAAGGGGTTCCGAGAGGACCTCAGGGGCAGTGTCCCCGCCCGGGACATCTTAGAGTCTGCCAGCCCTAGACTCTTCAGGATGGGCATTTTGACAGGCGGGGACCTGGGGAAAAAATAATGGACCATCGGTGGTGTTGATGACAATGCCTTTGTGTACCCAGCACTTTGGGGCATGTGTGCCAAGCACTGGTCTGAGCACTTACTTACCCCTTGAGTCTGCACAATCTCATGAAGAGAGGAACTATGCCCATTTTGCAGATGAGGAAACTGAGGCTCAGAAGAGCACAAGTGTTTGCCTAAGGTCCCATAGTGATTCGGGTTTCAAACCCAGGCCTGTCAGATTCCAGACCCAGTGTTCTCTCCCCTGAGCATCGGCGTCCAGACCCTTCCCTTCCCTTCCTCCTGCCCAGGGGTGTTCATCATCTTTTTTGTTGTTGTTGTTGTTCTTTTTTTTTTGTTGTTGTTCATCATCTTAGTGCACCCTTCTACTCCATGAGGAAACAGGCTCGGAGAGCAGAAGGGTCTTTCCCACGGTGGCACAGCCAGCGAAGGGCAGAGACTGACTGCATGGGGACCCAGGCCCCACCCCACCGTCTACCCAGGTGTCCTGTTCACACAGTTGGGCACCTGCTTCGTCTCCCCTGTCCAGGCAGTACCCCTGTCTCCTCTAGCCTACCCCATTCATTCCTTCAACAAACATTTTACTGGGAAATGTCCAGAATACACAAATCCATAGAGACAGAGAAAAGATCAGTTGTTTCCAGTGACTGGGTGAGGGGGACTGAGCTGTGACCACCGAACTGGTACAGCGTTTCCTTTTAGAGGGATGAAGACGTTCTAGAATTAGTGGCGATGGTTGACAACCTTGTGAATGTACTAGATGCCACTGAATTGTACACTTTAAAACGGTTAGTATGGTAAATTTTATGTTACGTAGATTTGACCACACACATCCCCGTACACACATCCCCCCCACACACACACACACTCGTGCACACACACACACACAAACTGATTAGGTATTTACATGGGCCCAGCCCTGAGCAGGCCCTGAGGACACAGCAGTGGCCAAGGCAGACCCAGTCCCTGCCCTCATGGAGCTCGAAGCTTCCCGAGTCCCGCCCATTCCTTCTCCTAGATCCGTCTCCTACCTCTTCGTGGCCCCTGCCCCAGTCCAAGCCCCCTCCTGCTTCCCTGCTGCAGCCTCCCCCCTGATCTCCGGCCTCTAGTTCTCCAGTCTACCGTGGAGGACCTTGGTAAGGCTCAGACCTGCCCCTCCCCCTTCTCTTAACCCTCCATGGCTCCCCAGTGCCCTCGAGATGAAATTCAGGCCCCCCTGCTTGCCTGCTGTACACCTCATCAGCACTACCGCACCTTCTCCTCCTCCTTACCTCAGGCTCCTCTGGGTTCCAGCACTGTTTATACGTGGAGGCCTGTTCTCCATGTTCCATTCACACTTCAGGACCCAGCCCCAGTGTTGCCTCTTCCCAGATGCCCAGGCTGAGTCAGGTGCACCCCCCTTGAAACTCCCACTCTGGGTCATCACTGTCTGGGGATGGGTCTGTGTCCCCCACTGGGCTGTGAGCCCCAAGAGGACAGGGGCGGGGCTGTCTGTGTCCCCAGCTCCCAGGGCAGGCACTCTGGGAATGAGTGGGTGCTAAACAGGAAGGAGACAAGGACTTCATTCCTTGTGGGAGAGGAGGAATGATAAGTCAAAACAGAGAGCTCAGCAAGGAGCAGGCCGCTCAGGGCCTTGAAAACCGTTAAGGAGGGGCTTGGACTTTCTTCTGAGGGCGCTGGGAGCCACAGAAGGGTGCTTTTGAAAATGATGAAAGATTCCAAATGTTCAGAAAAGTATAGAAAATAAATTTAATAAACACCCCTGTGCTTACGATCCTAGTAGCTGCATCTAATGCAAAGCATTTTCTCTTTTGGGTTCATTTGTTTTTCTTTTAAGAATCAAGCATTGCAGGAATTCCCTGGCAGTCCAGTAGTTAGGACTCTGCACTTTCACTGCCAAGGGTGCGGGTTCAATCCCTGGTCTGGGAACTAAGAGTCAAGCATTGCAAATGCACTGAAGCCCCCCAAGCCCCTCCCTGATCCCGCCCACTCTAGCCCTCTCCCACGGAAAGCCGTCCAAGCGGACTTTGACCCTGTGCCTGCCTACCCAGACTGGTATCCAGAAATAATGTATTGTTTTACGTGGTTTCGAACTCTCCATAAATACTGTCATACTACATGTATCCCCTGCCTCTTGCTTTTTTTTTTTTTTTTTTTTTTTTTTTTTTTTT